GTGGAAATTACGCAGCGTGGAATTATGGCGCGTGGAATTTACGGCGCGTAGAAATTTCGACGCGTGGAATTATGGCGCGTAGAAATTTCGACGCGTGGAATTTACGGTGCGTAGAAATTTCGACGCGTGGAATTGTGGCGCGTAGAAATTTCGGCGCGTGGAAATTATGCCGCGTAGAAATTTCGGCGCGTGAAATCACAGTGCGTAGAAATTTCGACGCGTCGAAATACAACGTGTGGAAGTACAGCGCGTGGAAATTACGCAGCGTGGAATTATGGCGCGTGGAATTTACGGCGCGTAGAAATTTCGACGCGTGGAATTTACGGTGCGTAGAAATTTCGACGCATGGAATTTACGGTGCGTAGAAATTTCGACACGTGGAATTATGGACGTGTGGAAGTACAGCGTCTGGAAATTACGCAGCGTGGAATTATGGCGCGTGGAATTTACGGCGCGTAGAAATTTCGACGCGTGGAATTATGGCGCGTAGAAGTACTGTGCGTAGAATTAAGAGGCGTGGGAATTACGACGCGTGAAAATTACGTAGTTAAAAATTATATTCCACAATAATTCGCAAACGAAGCTTCAAACTGACTGACGCTTTAAAAATTGTAGTTTCATGGGTAAACCTGTGCACCCAATAAGTCCAAAAAGATGAATAAAAGCAAATACATTTATGCACCGTAGTTTATTTGCATAATCCTTATATTTCAGTTAGTATCAGTCGTAGATACAGTGTACATCGTAGATACACTCGGTCTATGCCATGGACTGTATGGCATGACTAATTATACTTGAGCCCGCGGCGGGTCTCGTTGGTTCGGCCCTGAAGAGGCGGGAAGCACCCCATTAAACCTCGAGCTTCGACCACCCTCCGCAAGGAAGACCACGAGACGTCAATACGAGCCCACCAGCTGCGAGGACGATGAGCACGTCGGGAAGCAGCGTAGAAAAGCAAGAGAACCAAGAAAACCGGAAGATAGAGCATACGTTACTCTTATTTCTTCCGGTACGCTACCTGGCCGGGTGCTCGACTGCCTTGATGTACGATCTCTTCTTTCTGTTTCCTCCTTTCGCGTTTTCTCTATTTTTGCCTTCCACCTTTAATGCTGAATATCTTCGAGCTTTTTCAAGGAGAGCAAGTTTAACTTACTGCCGTTCTGCACATCTTTGTGCAATGTTTACTTTACTTTTTACGGCTGCTATTGATGGCTCGCTCGACGGAATGTTGAAAACCGGGGCAAGATGGGGTGATGCTTTCTGGACAGAGCGCTATGGAAGGTTGTGCTACTTTAAATGCTATAAGCTGAGCTTCTTTTATAAAAAAATAATTTTTAGTGAAGGAAGTTTATAATAAACTTCATAATAAAGACAGAACATTTAATTTAATTGTAAGACATTTAATTGTGAGAATTATTTTATATTTACATATTGACATGTTACGTACGTAAGTATTTGTATAAATGAGTGAGATACTATATGTTATCAGTATTATTGTTATTACATCAACACACAGTGACAAACTATATAATGAAACTTGATGTTTCAAACAAACTTGTCAATTATAATTCGTATACTACCCTCGAGTCCATTGAGAGTGTTCTCTGCTGCAATAATTGACATATTATCCCGAGTTTTCACGGTGCCACTGCCCAAGTATGGTAAAATCACTGCATTACAAGAAAAAATTAATGTACAAACAATTTTGCTAAATATATGGTTAAATAACTGATAATAAAATATTAACCAAAATTAAGGTTATGTACTCGTACATGAAGTCATTCATCCTTACCTTACATTATTCCAATAAAAAAAGATATAAAAACAGAATAATGCATACACGTTTCCCTTTTAAGGTATGCAATTATAACAATTAATGATACTGACCAGCATTAGGAAGTTTAAGAAGTTGGTGGTCAGAAGACAATGATTCTGGGTCAGTGATATCGAGTCCCGCCGCAAAAATACTGTTACTACGAAGTGCTTTAACCAAAGCTTCCGTATTTACAACTTCTCCACAACCGATGTTTACGAATACTACTGTTTTCTTCATTTTACTAAATGCATTGTCATTAAACATTCCTCTGGTTTCATTTATTAGTGGTGTAGCCACTATTACGAGGTCGCTTTGCTCGAGGAGCTCGTCAAGTGATACAAAATGGGCGCCAAGTTAAATGGAAATAATACTAAATACAATTTATTGATTTGTTTTAGTGGAACTGTAATGTGTTTCAGTAATAAATAAATAAATTTAGTAATGTGTTTTACTGGAAGTATAACGTGTCTTAGTAATAAAGAAATTTTAGCAATGCGTTTTATTTTTACATGCAGAAGTTTCGCTACGAGATATGAAAAATATTTTAAAGTTTGAAGAATCAAACGAAACATTGTCGACAAAAGTCCTTTATGTATTTTCTTTTGAGATACTTTTTAGGACTTTCTTCTCTAATCAAGAGCTTTGGTTATGATTTGAGTTTTTGAGAACAGTCCATATGTTTAAAGGGGAACTCGTAAAAAATAGGAAAGTGGTGCTTAGCAGTATTCGTAATTATAAATGTACATATACCTGCCTTCATACGACAATAATCAGTATAAACAAAACGACCCACGTCGAATCCTTTCAATCGCTTGACAATAGCTTGCCCGATATTGCCCAAGCCAACAATACCAACTATTGACCCTTGTAATTCTTGACCTAACATCCATTGCAAATTGTTTTCCACTTGACCTCTGCATTTACGGAAAATTTATACACGTGTATTAAAATGTGACCCGTAATGTAGTGGTGACCGTCAGATTGCAAAGAACGTACATGAAAACCGATATAGGGAACTATGTAACGACTATATTATGCTTTGTTAATACTAAATAAAAATCGTATTTACTGAATAAAATGTGAGTAAATAGAAAATGTAATAGATACTACTGTTTTACAAGGCCTAATCATAAACTGCGGTGTATAGCACCATATTTTTAAAAGTTTGCAATTTTAAATTAAAATTTGCAGTTGCATAATGTGAAGAGGAGAGGACATAATACGATGTAATGAGAATAAAAAAATTCAAGAAAAAGAATGCAGTATGGTATAAAGAAGAAGAAATAGAAATTCAAGAAATTGTAAACTTAGGCTCATGTGTCGCACTTCTTAAGAAATCTGATATGAGGAAAAAGAGAACCTAAAAACAAAATGTTTGAAAGGCAGATTATTAAAATTAGAGTACTTTGAAATGTTGTCGAGAAAGGAGCGTGCACTTAACGTGTCATGATGCATAATTCAGCTTTTAAATGCAATTCTGACATTCTAAGAAAAAATGAATTTTTATCAAACTGAAGAGTCAATGTCTTAGACAGTTCATCAACCCCAATTTATTTATTTTTCTACTTCATAAACTGTACAATACTGCTACGCTACAGTGGCCATTAAACGTAAACCTAGTGTTAAAAGCTGTTATTGAATCACGAATTGCAATTAGCAGTGAAAGTTTGAGAAAACGAGAGCGTGTCAATGAGAAAAGATCAACGCGAAGTTCTCGTGAATCGCCGTTGGTCTTGAATTGCAAGAAAATTATTGTGAGATACTAAATGAGATCGGTGGGAAAGTAAGAATATACTCTTTCTTCGCGGAGGTCTTGAACTGCGCTCGAAAATAGAAAAACATTCAATGTACATAACAGTGCTATACTTATAACACCTCTCTAATATTACTAATATATTTCATATTAAATGAATATTATTTTCTCTTATATTTACATTTTCTTTCATTACTGTATAAATTTTTAATATTAGAAAAGTATCAAACATTAACGTGAAATATTTTAAAAACCACATAAATTTTTGTGATGATTTTTTATTATACAATATACTTTCAATATTTCGTAATACTTAAAACTGGTAAAATTAGGATATGAATATTTATAGAAAAGTTAAACGTTACATGTGAAGAACAGTAACTCACGTAAAAATGGCTGATATTAAACTATATGTTATATGCTATTATATCGGTAAATATTCTTGAACGTATAAAAGTGTATCATTGTTACATAATTTCAAATGAACACACAGTAGCAAGCGGTGGAATGAAACTTTATGCTTCAAACACTTATTAATTATAACGCATACACCAACGGCTTATCCTCCAATCCATTGAGAATATTTTGTGCTGCAGCAATCGCCATGTTATTCCTAGTTTTCACGGTAGCGCTGCCCAAGTGTGGTATGATCACTGCATTAATATTTATAAATAAAATTAATTTATGTACTATTTTGCTAAATTTTTCTGTGATTAAACAGTAAGCAAATATTATACATATAAAGTCTATCAAGTATACGGAATATAATTTCTAATACGAAAATATTAACCCCTTGCCATACTTTGACGAGTCTCACACGTGACACACTCACAACTCAAATGTGACCTTCTCCAAAATTTTGAATACTTGAAATTTAGGTCCAACTACAATTTGTATAGTCAAGGATCGCTGAATAGAAAATGCTCCAAACATTTTAATTTTCTTTGTTTGTTTTAATATTATAACTATGAATAGTTAGTTTTGACTGACGCATTTCGCAAATAAATTGTGAGGCAAGGGGTTAACCAAAGTTAAGGTTATGTACTCATGTAGTTATTCATCGTTACCTTACACAGTTTCGATAAAAAAGTGAAAGATATAAAAATCCGAGATATAAGAACACAAATCCGAAATATAAGAGACAACATTTGCGAATAAATGTTTCCCTTTTATTACAATTAACGATACTGACCAGCATTCGGAAGTTTAAGAAGTTCGTGGTCAGTAGGCAATGGTTCTGGGTCAGTGACATCGAGTCCCGCCGCAAAAATACGCTTATCACGAAGCGCTTTAACCAAAGCTTCCGTATTTACAACTTTTCCACGACCAACATTTACGAACACTGCTGTTTTCTTCATTTTACCAAACGTATTGTCATTAAACATTCCTCTGGTCTCATTTGTTAGCGGAGTAGCGACGATCACGAAATCACTTTGTTCGAGGAGCTCGTCGAGTGATACAAAATGGGCGCCAAGTTCGTCTCCTATGTAGAATTTAAACGAATGCATTTAATCTTTGTGGCACTTGTTTTACTTTTAGCAGAGTTTCACTATATGGCTCTACATGAAATTTTTAGTTATATAAATGACAACTGACAACAGTTTGAGAGACATTGTTTATAGTCTGTTTTTTTACTGCTCTGCTATGCACTTGCGTGAAAATGCACACAATGTGCACGTTTGACGCAAACGTTCACATTCTTTCAATTCTTCTGACTAGTTTTTTCCTGTCAAGGATTAATTCTGTGAAAAATTTGAGAGCAGTTAAAAATTGTAGTGAGACAATCGTTCGAAATAAAGACATTACGATTTGTGTTCTACTTTGAAAAAGACCATTGCTTTCAAATGATGTGTTCTAGTTAAGCTATTTGAACTTCAAACTCTTGCCTTCAAACTTATTATACCTATACTCGATACGTTATTATAATTTTTACCGGAGACAACTTTTTATCCGGAGACAAATTCAGGTTTAGATGTGTGTTTGGGAAAAACAGAACCCATATGTTTAAAGAGGAACTTACAAAAAAGCTAAATAGGGTAGCGATACTTAGCGAGATTATACTTATAATCAGAAATATATTATATACCTGCTTTCTTACGAGAATGACCAGTATAAACAAAACGACCCACGTCGAATCCTTTCAATCGTTTGACAATAGCCTGTCCGATATTGCCTAAACCAACAATGCCAACTATCGATCCTTGTAAATCTTGACCTAACATCCATTGCAAATTGCGTTCCACTTGTCCTCTGCATTCACGGAAAATTTATATAGATGAATTAAAATGAGAAACCGTAATGCATAGATTGCAAAGAACATACATGGCTACCATGAAAACCAATATAGGGAACTATGCAACGACTATATTATACTTTGTTAACACTAAATAAAAATCGTATTTACTGAATAAAATGTGAGAAAATAGAAAATGTCATTTCGAATTACTGTTCGAGTTTCAAACGTCCTTCATGTGCACGTCTTGCAGCGTTTAACGTCAAGAGTACTGCAATTTCTGCGACTGCGGCTGATAAAACTACAGGTGTATTACCGACTTTGATACCTCTTCTTTTAATTTCGGGAACGTCCAAATGATCATAACCGGCTGACATTGTCGCAACTACTTTTAGGCTTGGTCCTGTTATTTAACGAAACGAATTATGGTGCATGTAAAATATTTTTGAATACTCGTTTTTTTTAACCCTTTGACTACCGCAGACTTTGGCACGCACTCGGTACGAATTCACTCGCGACGTCCACCATGGCGAAATTTTTCGTTAGACATGCATTGGACGCCTATTGGCGCCAACAGTACCGGGAAGCTAACATGTTTCGAACGCCTATTGGCGCCAATAGTACCGGGAAGCCATGTTTCGGACGCCAATAGGCGCCAACAGTAGTCAAAGGGTTAAAGTATGTATTATAAGCGAATAGAAGGTAAAATTTTTCGAAAGTGACTCTGAACCTAAAAAAGAAACACTGATTTGGAAGATCGATTACCTGCGATATTAAGAAATTCACTGTTTACATTATCATGCTTAGCAATAAATACCGCATCATGTCCTGGGAGTACTTGTAACACGTCTTCGCGACTAGGAGTAATAGCCTGAATGACCGTGACGTCGCATCTAAATGGAGCAAGCCATTAAAACGTATATTCCGCTGTATAATTGTAATTAAACTTTCAATATTTAACTTTCTTTTCACACAGAATTATTAAACGAATATTAAGTTCACTTAAAAATACTCTCATGGTTAATAACCATGTTATAAAAATGCTTACTTTGTACGTAATAAATCTACGCCAGCAGAAGGCACATCGTTACTGGTGACTAATACACGTGGTCTCATCGTAATGTTTCCGTGTTATGATCACGCTGAGAAGCAATTTCTAAACTGATTACTCGCGATACTCCATGCATTATATAAGCGTAAAATCTGATATGCGCAAGCGCAATGAAACATGAAGATATCAGATATTACTTTTTTATAACGAGTATAGTCTCCGTTGCGATATAATGTAATTGTAAGTGTTCTGAAACATTTCTGTTCGTACTACGTTAACTATAATCTATAATCTGTATACAAATAATTAATTCTGTAGATAAGATTAGATAAATAAATATAAATAAAGGTTTTTAAAATTTATTTTTTCTTAAGTTTAATAATTTAGAGATGTTGTTGAACGTTATGAAATAGTACTGTGATAAAATTGTCAGTAGTTAAAGAAGTTTCTTAGATTTTAGTTAAAGAAGTTTCTTAGAAACATGATATCAATTTGTAATAGTTACTAAAAATCTATTATTATATTTATTGGAAATAATACATATTGAAAGGCATTGAGAATAATAATATTTTAGTTATTCACATTCTGAAATTTTTTACTGTTCTGTTGTGTGAATTCTAAAATTATTGGATTACAGATTCATTCAATTTTTTTAACCCTTTACTCTCGAAGGCAACTTTAAAACTTATTAGTCAAAAGTAAATGAATTCTTTTGTTATTATTTCTCTACTAATAATTTCTACTATTGTTTCACTATGTGGAATTATAGCGCGTAGAAATTTCGACGCGTAGAAATACAACGCGTGGAAATTACGCAGCGTGGAATTATGGCGCGTGGGAATGACAACGCGTGGAAATACAGCGCGTAGAAATTACGGGGCGTGGAATTATGGAGCGTAGGAATTACGGCGCGTGGAAATACAGCGCGTAGAAATTACAGAGCGTGGAATTATAGCGCGTAGAAATTTCGACGCGTAGAAATACAACGCGTGGAAATTACGCAGCGTGGAATTATGGCGCGTGGGAATTACAACGCGTGGAAATACAGCGCATAGAAATTACGGAGCGTGGAATTATGGAGCGTAGGAATTACGGCGCGTGGAAATACAGCGCGTAGAAATTACGGAGCGTGGAATTATAGAGCGTAGAAATTTCGACGCGTAGAAATACAACGCGTGGAAATTACGCAGCGTGGAATTATGGCGCGTGGAAATTATGCCGCGTAGAAATTTCGGCGCGTAGAAATTTCAACTTTGCAAATGACACATAAATTCGATCAATAATATCTCTAAATGTCTCACTGTCAGTTCCAAATATTTCTTTCATCCATCTAATATTTCTACGTTTCACAATTTCATACTTCTGTATTAAATCAATTTTACCCAAGTACATCAAATTGTATAAACTTTCTTCTCCACAAATTCGCTCTAATATCAAAAGCACTTACTATCAATATCACCAAACACAACAGTAAAGTTAGCATTAATTAAGGATAGCTTATTGTGTAGACGCATTTAATACATTCGTTCAATTTGCTTCAACCACGCTTCGGATGGATCGATAAATGCAAAAACGACTCTGAATTTGCCTCAAAGTTCGGAACTGCTCCAACTTCAATCCAACAGTGAAATGCAGCATTGTTCTAAAGTTAAACGTGCACACACAAGCACACGAACACAGTTTTACATTTAGGATCGTTTTACCTGGAACTTTCGAACGAAATACCCGATCGTTTCTTCGAATGAATTATTTTTTAAATGTCTTCGTTCTTATCTGTTTTTAGTTTCGCGAAATAATTTTTAAATGTTGGTTGTAAAATTTCAACGTGACGCTTGCAGGGAAAGTTTACTGCTCGGAAATTCGAAAAATGTAAAACTTTCTGGTAATGTAGCTCGTGTGGCGTTAATAACGAAACCATTTTTCGCTCTTTTTATGAGACCTGGAGGGAAAAACTGCTCACTGTAAATTGTTAGGTTTTATTTCATTTTTCTTATTTATGTTACGTGGGAAAAGTTCAATTTGAGTTTTAGAGAAATTTTGTGCTTTTGTGGTTGTAATTTTATGGTTGTGTTTCGATATTTTTACTTTTTTATATTTTTATATTTTTTTATTTCTGCGTTTCTATATTTTTATATTTCCACATTTCAGTATTTCTATATTTTTATATTTTTTTATTTCTACGTTCCTATAGTTTTACTTCAGTATTTCTATATTTCTATATTTTTTTATTTCTACGTTTCTATATTTTTATATTTTTTTATTTCTACTTTCCTATATTTTTATATTTCTACATTTCAATATTTCTATATTTTTATATTTCCATATTACTACATTTCAATATTTTTATATTTCTGCGTTTCAATATTTCTATATTTCAGTATTTCTACAATTTTATATTTCTGCATTTCAATATTTCTATATTTCAGTATTTCTACATTTTTATATTTCTTTATTTCTGTAAATTCTATATTTTTATATTTTCCCCCATTTTTATTTCTCTGTATTTTTATACTTCTACACTTTCAATTCCAAAATCATCAAATTCATAAATTACTAAGTTTGAAAATATAAAATTTGTGAACTGATATAAATTAAAAGTTTCAAAAATTTCAAAGTTTAATAGTTTCTGAAAAATATTTCTGCGACTCGAAGTTTTTACATTAAAAAACTAGTATATTCAATAATATATAATTTTAAAGAGTTTAAATATATTTTTAATTCCAAATTCTCAAGTTATTTTGTACAATATCCCCGAACCGCAGACCACATTTCCTTTTCAGAGTCAACAACTATGAAAGTAAGGATAAAGCGGTGGCAATCCGACTTATGAAGTCTAAGGAAAATTCAATGGACTCTTTGTGCGAGGTTTCATGAGAGTTCACGATAAAATTTTCCGAAGTTCAAGGATTTTTGAACCAAGTTTAAAACTTCGAAGTTACCGCGGTTAGTATCGATACTACAAAAATGCCTTCTGCAACTAATTTAAAGTAATATCCGTACTGAGTGCTTTTTCAAATCTCCAAAAATGAGAAAGTTAGATTTTTCCTTAAAGAAAATTTTAATTAACTTTTATTCGTAAACTTTGTTTAAATGAAATGAGATTTAAAATAATTTCTCCTAATATTTTTTAATAAAAAGGTTGGTAGATTGAATTAACAGAGTGAATTAAAAATGATGAATTGAAAGTTGTACAATTTTATAAAGAATTAAACGTTGAACAATTAAATAAAGAATAAAAACTGTTTAATTTCAGCTTCATTATTAAAACAAATAAAAATAAAAATAGAAATGTATAACAATTTCATAGTACTCCATTTTGCTATTGTGTCTACCTTTCGTAACAAACATTTCAATCGCAATTGAAATTTCTTGTGCAGCGTCTTTTGTTTTATAATACAATTGTGCGTTCTACGATTGTACCTGTTACCTTTTGATACGGTATTCTGTTTTATTACCTTTTTTGCTAAACGGAGCTCCGTGTCATTTACGATACGGACTGTAGATGGAGTCTACACGGTAGAACGTGTGTGCATACAAAATGGTTGCCGCGTGAATAAACCGTATAATACGTAGCAGAAGGTTAAAAGGTCCCCTTTCATTTTACCACTTTTCACAAACGTTTACTTCTCTTTTACCGTCTTGTATCTTAAATTCTACTGAAACTAATTTGCTTGAATTATATCGGGCAGTTGTATTTCATATAAAAATATGAAAGTAAAATGAAGAAATTTATTATTGAATATTTTATTGTAAACTTTTTGTTATACCTTTTGATTAGTTAACAAGGTTTTAACGTTACTAAAATATTTAGCACAGAGGTAACGCAAGATCAGTTACCAAGTAATTTGAGCGCTCAGTTAACGCGAGATTCAACGATCAGTTACCGAGAGATAGTAACGATCACCGTACACGTAAAAAGACTGTCCCATTATACTGATTAATTTTGTCATTTTTTGATAGTAGCCGTTTCGAAGCAAGCTGTATAAGTGTGGCAAAAACGATGCTTGAGATTGCTCGTTGTGAAGGAGCCGCAAGGGGATCGGAATTTCCATTATCCTAAAACATCGAGCGTCCCCGTGGATTTCACGGCAGCTGGCATCTGCAATGTTGGCAGATCTTCAAGGAAGAACGGATCGAAACGAAGCGTGTCGTCGTTCACGGAAACGGAGCACCGCCTCGGGAGAAAATCTCGTCTGTCACGTTTTGCGTGCATCTTCCATCGCGAAAAACCTAGCATTTTCAAGCTATCTGCTTTTCAATTCTATTGAGACGCGAGACTTTCGACGGATCTTGTGTATTACTAACGAATTCGGTCATAGTCTGGATCATTTCACAAAATGCGATTTTTGGAACAGATTGGGTTACGATTTTGGAACTCAAATTATAGTTACTATAGTTAGAATGATACCATAGGTTACGACTTTAGGTTAGGATGTTAGGTTACGATTTTAGAACCCGTTAGGATAGGTCAGGTACTTAGATTAATTATGTTAGGTACTTAGATACTTTTAGATGCAAGTTGGACATCTTTTTTCAATTTTTTAATTTGCAAGTTTTTGAAGTTTCAAATTTTTTAATTTGCAAGTTTTTGAAGTTTTAAATTTTTTAATTTGCCAGATACTTAAATTCATAAATTTTTAAGTAACTTTATTTTCTAAAGTTTTAAATTTTCAAGAATTAAAGGCTGTACATTCAATAATTTCTAAGTATTATAATTTTTATGTTCTGAAATTATCAAGTTATCAAATTAGCAAATTCCCAAACTTCCTCATCTCCAAACACCTACCCTAAATTTTTATTTCAACCCCAAAAATTCCCAAATCCTCCAAAAATTTTAACAGAAATTAAATTTGACGATTCTACAATAAAATTAAAAAAATGAAGTTGATTTCGTTCGACTATCAGTTGTATTGTTTCATAAATGGATATTGCATGTAAATGATTGGTTTAAATCGCTGACACACAGACTAGTGGCTAAAAAGCAGCAACCTGGCTTGACATATTAAAAATTGCCATGATGCGAATTTCGTGTTGCGACTGTTGAAGAAAATGGCGGTGGCGGGTTTCGGTATCACGATGCATTGTGTTTATGCTCTGCCTTGACATAACATGTGGCAGGTTTTTATCGATTTTCAGAAAAAAGCTGAAGAAAAAAGCTTCATAAAAATTTGATTTTT